ATCTCATGAAGTGAGCATGGGCTCAAAAGCTTATACATCTCTTTGATTTAGCTAGTATGTGAGGTGCATGTCTACCCTGCCTTCTATATTGAATTAGTTGAGCTCAGTTATTCTTCTCTTTCACAGAATACTTAGCCCATATATTTTAGCAACAACATTGCTTACAGATTTATCCTATCCATACAGTGAATCCATTGGGCCAAAATGAGAGGGGTATCCTAGGGAATCCAAATGAGTCCAGACAGATGCAAATCATGGGCTAAGGTGGGGGGCCAGAATTACAGAATCTTAGATTCATTTGGGGCCCAGCACAACTCCTTTTAAAGTCCGTGAGATACTTTTTGCAGTTATAAAGCCTAAAGGCTGATGCATTTGTATTTAGGCCCTGATTCTGCTGTCTGTTCCATGTGCTGTCAGTTATAGGATGGGGGCCTCTGGCAGTAAAGAGCTGATCTTGTTCTGCTGTCCATGACTTTTAGAAATTGACTGACTGTAGAACTCCTCATGGTGGAGTGGAGTAGAGTAACTGGTGGGGAGTGAGTAAATCAGGTATGTTACCTAACGTTTAATCCATTACCAGGAAAGTGTGAGAAATTTAAAAAGATGCAAGCACAGTTTTAGTATCTTACAACATCCTAGGTAACATACCTGATTTACTAAAAAAAGGTGAAAGCTATGTAAAAAAATGTAGAGAGAAATAGAAATAGGACCAGATTCTGTTCCATATGGGCATCTAAGTGGATGTAGGCACCTTAGTGTGATTCCATTCTACCCTATTTGAGTTGTGCATCTATTTTTGGAGCATGCCAATGTCTTAGCCATAAGATGGAGTCACAAAAAAGTGGTGAAGACACCCCACCTTACTATGGTCTCAAGCAGGGGCCTAAGTCCATTTACAAGCCTGATAGGTGAAATATAATCTGTCCATAAAGAGAAAAAAATGTGTGCGCACAGGTACACACACCCACACTTGCACACATAGAGAAGAAGTGAATCCAGGAAGCCCTGAGATATTTTTCAGATACACACATAGATTAATGATAGACTATAACTGTAATAAGAAACAGAAAAGGGATAAAAAGTGTGAACAAACAGATTGTAATTGGTTAAAAATGGAAGAAGCACTAGGTGGAAATTGTTTAGAATGTAATTTAATTCTGACACAGGGGGATGAACCAGAATCTTACATATGTCAGATAAAGTGCATGAACAGGATGTGTGTATTCAGCCAAAAGAATAGCCCTCTCATAGTTTGGCTTCTCTACAGGGAACAAAATTATAGGCTGGTACTTCAAATAAATGACAGGAGAGGACAACTTCCATCTCATCCTGGACACACCAGTCATACATTTACATAGTATTATCCTAAATTATATTCCTCTAATGATGTGAAATTGAGCATTCTCTTCTCCTAGTAGGATAAGGTTTGGCTAAGGAACAAGTAATAGTTTTGGGGTTCTCTAATTGTAGACTGATGCGTCAAATAAATGACAAGGGAGAACAACTTGCATTTCATCGTGGATGCATCAGTAAAGCATATATGTATTGCTAGGGCAAATTCTATTCCCCTGATGTTGTGAAATCTAAGGGATACATTGAGGATTCTCTATTCCTGATAGGATGAGGTTTGGCTGAGTAACAAGTAATAGTGCTGGGGTCCTCCATAGCAGAAAAAGAAATGGCTGTTTCTACTCAAATGGGGATATAATCCTTGACACAGGCAGCTTCCTTTTACTTTTAAATGTATCAAGACTAAATTGTTCAATATGTTTAGGGAAACTTAGCAGAAGACAATTTCCTGGTACTTGGAAAGATTGTTCTTACTTTAGTACTTTAGTAAGATAAGAATTGTCCTGTTATGTAAGCTTTAGAGACCAATTTCCCATTTGAATTCTGTTTTTAAGATTATAGCAAAAATTGTGCCAGCAGAATGGCAAGGATACCACCCATCTTAAGGATCATTCATGATTTGTTCTATAGCATGTTACATCTGCTAACTTGGAGCCATTTTTTTTTTTTATTAATGGGATCAGTAAAGACGATTGGAAAGAAGGTATTCTGCCATGTTGAATCAGGCTTCCTTTTAAGTGTCCTCACTAACATAGGCCGTGTGTAGATGAAACGACGGGTGTATGTACATGTTACTTTAAAGTAGGCTAAATGCTTTTGTGCTGCTTTAATAGTGTCGCTGTTTGCATGCCTCGGTGGCACGTTGCACATTAATTACAGCCACTGTAGCAAATTTGGCAGCATAATGCACCTAAAATGCCTTGGGGTGCAGCAAACTTAAACTCCTCTGAAGAGTTTTAGTTTGCTGCCCTACCAGCCACTGAGCAAAGCACAGGGCTCCGTGCAGCTCAGGGGCCCTGCAGGAAGCCCTGCAGGCAGCCTGGCAGCAGCCCGGGAGCAGGCCCGCCCCAAAGAGGAAAAAAAAAAAAGCGGCAAGCATGATCTTTTTTTTTTTTTCCTCCCGGGAGCCTGCCTGCCTGAGCTGTGCAAGGGCCTAGTGCATGCCTGTGGGTGGGTGCTGCCTGGGGGGGTGGGGAGGGGGTGGAAGAGTTTTAGTTTGCTGCCCTACCAGCCACTGAGCAAAGCACAGGGCTCCGTGCAGCTCAGGGGCCCTGCAGGAAGCCCTGCAGGCAGCCTGGCAGCAGCCCGGGAAGGCAGGCTCTGCCCAAGAGAGGAAAAAAAAAAGCGGCAAGCATGATCTTTTTTTTTTTTTCCTCCCGGGAGCCTGCCTGCCTGAGCTGTGCAAGGGCCTAGTGCATGCCTGTGGGTGGGTGCTGCCTGGGGGGGTGGGGAGGGGGTGCCGCTGCCGCAGAGGGAAGCACCAGCCCCCCCGCCCCCATAGCCCAGGGACTGCTCTGCCCACCAGCAGCTCACCCTCCCCTCCCCACTGCTGGAGAGGCAGGTAAGTCAGGTGTGTGCTCAACACAGGGGTTTAATTGGCCCTAAATTGAAGTGGTATTTTTAAAAACCCACTGCTTCAATTTAGGGCCCCCGTTTCATCTACACACGCCCATAGGTGTTAGTAAATATTTCAAGAAATTGTTACCTTTCATGTATAGTGAATCCAGAGTTCTGGAGTGTCTAGATTGTTTCTTTGTTATCTGAAAGTTTATCAAGGATTACTTAAAAGAGAGCTTCCACTTTCACCACTTTTTTAATGAGACTTTGGGTCATTTTTCCAAAGGAAATGGCTTGTGAAAGTCATAAGAATAGAAGAAATATGTTATTTCATTTTTTTTGCTGCTTCTGTTCTTTTCTTTGATGGATCATTACTATTACTTACAGTTGTTCTTTATTGTATTTGAACCCAGAATAAATGCATAAAATGGATGCAATGAACAGCTACAGAGATGTTAAATGTAAAATTCAAAGTGCTGACTCCTTACATATAGTTAGAGCCACAGGACTTTTCTAAAGTTCTGCCAGCCGTAATCAAGCACCCTAAAGACATCGTATATATGCAACATAGTCTTTGTCTATAGCTTTTCATTGTTAATTATTCGTCTCGGTTATCTTCCATTATTTCTGGCTTTGAAATAAAACCATGGGTACTGGAGTTTCCACAGCAAAGGCCAGATTGTGATTAAAAGTTTACAGAAGGAAGATCTTTCTTCAGTCGATAGCAGAGTAGATTAATGTCCCATATGTCTGTATACTGCTGGAAAAAGCTGTTTATTGTGGAAGAGGCTGCCCTAGGTCTTTTAAGAAAGTGTGGGATTCGCACTTGGGCTGTTCTTTTTCTAGGGGCCCAGTCCTTATATACCGGGTGCTCTCTGCTTCCATTGCATAACAAGTACCAACTTGGATAAGGGCGAGAGAGAATGTAGCATTTTTAAAATGTTGCCTGGCATTCTCTCCCAGTATGATGAAATCTACAGGGTCCACTTTGTCCATTGTTGAGACTTTTTTCCTGTCATGATGTGTTTTTCTTCTTTGTTCCTCTTGTGTACAGTTTTCAGTTTCAAAAATATAGAAAAAAAAAGACTTTCCATTAGCATTAATAAGAGTTGGATAGGGACCTCAGATTCACTTTGATTCATCTCAGAATTTGGCTTGTTTTGCCCACTCTGCAACTTGAGGAACCTCTTGCCAGACATGAGGGTGTGGAGAATGTCACACATACAGAGTGTGTTCAGAGGCACTACACATGGTCTGCTATTTATGCTTGTGGCCAAAATTAGGTGGAACAGTTGAAGATGATCACAAAACCCTTGAGAATACATATTTGGAACTGTGTGCAAGTACTTTGTGTGTTAAACTCAGTCAAGATTTACAGTAGGAGCAGGGGCCCTTTCAAAATCTAATTTTTTTTAATGCTATTATTGAAAATTTTAAGTTCAGTATTTCTGAATCTTAAAATAGCTGCCATGTCTGTGCCTGCCCTTTGCTAGTGTAAAACAAGGGTTCAAACGAATACGTATTATTGGTTATTTCTCGTTACTGGTCAGTATATGCAATTCTAGTTTTGTATGTACTTGTCTATTGCTTTTTCCTCTCTTATTCTTTTTTCAGTTTCATGAAATATTTTAAACAGAAAACATGTTTTATAGAGCTGAATATTTCCCTCTGTACATGGGGAGGGTAGGAGTAGTATACAAGACAAACTGCTTGTATTTAAAGTCTATTTTCTTGGCAAATATGATTAAGTGTATGAAAGTATGAAGGCATTTTCCAGATATCCAATTGTCATGAGTTTCTTCCAGTTTATGAGCATCCAGGATTTTCCACCATTACTTTTAAACAACAAGGTTAAAAGCATGCCCAGAATAGAGTTGGAAATCGTTTGTTAATCTCTATTAATCTGCTAGTTCTATAATCAAACACATGTGTTTATTTTTCTGGTTAAATTGTTAATGATATTAAATTGGCCATTGGAAACTGAATCATGCTACAGACATTTCCCTTACTGGTTTTTGAGACTGTCTTGCATTGTGGTATTTGAGAGAACAATGTATTTTATCATTTTAAAAGATTACACTAACTTCTTGCAGATGCCATCCCACCAAGCTATTACAGCCTTTACTACAGAATTGTAAGATTTGATGTCTCAGCGATGGAGAAAAATGCTTCCAACTTGGTGAAGGCAGAGTTTAGAGTCTTCCGTTTGCAGAATTCAAAGGCACGGGTATCTGAGCAACGAATAGAACTGTATCAGGTAAAGCTCTGGCTTTTTCTCTGGATTTTTGCACCAAATCTTTATGATAATATACCATGTGCCTGATTCTCCTCTGACTTATGTTGATGTGATTCCATTTACTACAGTGGAACTACTCCTGATTTACACACATGCAAGTGAGGAGAAAATCAGGCTTCATATAATAAGATTCTTATCAATTTGTAAAATGAATTTCAAGTTTCATCATAGCAATTATACTACAGCTTTACACTTTTGTATCACCTTTCATTTTAAGACCTCAAAGTGCTTCATAAATACTAATCTACTGATTCCTGCAACAACTCTCTAAAGTAAACAAGTATTATTATTATTAAACACACTTAAGAAAGGGAACAAACTCAGGTAAAAAGCAGTGAAGATTCACATTTTCAAAAGTAGCCTTTAATTTTGGATGCCCAGCATAGAAGCAACATCAGTTGAAATCAGTCAGATATGTAATGTGTTGAGTACCTCTGAAAATGAAGCCTCAGATATCATAAAGTTGGGTTTTCAGTATTAGAGAGAGTTCCCAAATTTGACCATTTTTAATTTGCATATGACAGATTGTTGTTCTTAGGCCTAGCGAACAGTTAACAGGATGAGAGACAGTTTAGTGTTTCTCCAAAAAAGATCATCATTTTGTGCTTCTGCATGTAGGTAATCAGGCACCTGAAAAGGATCCTAAGGCTAAACCTATTGAATTTCCCCATTTGGCCAACTAAGCGCACACAGGGTTCAAAATGTAGAGCTGAGTAGAAAATGTCTTTGCTTATCTGAGTACCTGCCTGGTGATTATGGCCAGCTGTAGCTCATAGTAGAGCATAGCCTTGAGCAGACATGTGCCCTAGGTAAATTATAGACACCTGGGAGAAGGCAAATACTCTGGCCTTTATATACTGGTATTGTGAAGGGCTCTATTTTTTCTGAGGAACATGGGGAGCAACAGAAGGGAGGTCTGCATTCACATCAGCAATAGATCAAATCATTTCTTCACAAAGAAGTTATAGACCAAAGCTAGCTGGTCCTTTTTAGATGTGAAAATTGGGTTCCTTCTTATTGATCAAGCACCAGATTTGAGACTAATATGATGTTAGGTCTTCTGTGTGAGAGAACTTTGCAAAGTTTCCCTGCGGTGCACCTAGTTGTCTTTATGTGGCCAGTTGGTGTGGAAGTGATTTTTTTCCAATTCACTTACAAGCTTCTGAAGTTCTGTTATATATTTATGGTCCATTTTTCCATCTCTGATGTCTCTTAATATTCTTTCCACTGATTTATGTATGCATTTATCAACAAAAGTTTGCCATAATTATTCACATAGATGTGTTACTGACTCTGGCCTATACGATATCTGTAATAGTGGCTCTCCCTGTATGAGCACCAACATCTCAAACTCCTGCAAACATCTGCTTTTCACCACCACAAACCTTGCACACCCAACAGAGGGTATTAAAACAGGGAGAATCTGGAGGCTTTCTCAAAGGGGAAATATTTGAGAATCCTCCGCACTCAGATGATATTTTTGACCAGAATAGAAAGTTGGGGCAGAGGCAGGGAGAACCTGAGGCAGTTAGAGGTAGGGGTTATGGAAACAAAAGGAACAGAAGAACTTGAGTAGAACCATGGATCTGTGAAGTGATTGACATTATAGCTAGAAGCTTCCAGCAGTGAAGAAAGCAGCAGCATGGGGGAGGTAAAATAGTGTTTTACTCGGGGTCAGACTCGATGATCTATTGAGGTCCCTTCCGACCCTAACATCTATGAATCTATGAGTGTTCAGGCATGTATTCAAGTCCCTTGGTTTAATAGAGGAAGGAGGGCAGAGTGCAACAAAAAAAGAAAGTTAGTATTTGAAGAACAGTCTCCAGCTAGCAGCTGTCACTGTTTCTAGGACAGCATCTCACGTATGGGCAGCAAGCTTCACCCAAAAGCAGCAGGGCTGCTGGTAGGGTTGGCCTGTGCATTTCTTATTTTCTTCCCATGCATAAATACAAGCTTAACTTCCTGCCTTTCTGTGAGAGATGAATGCTGGGCTTACCTGTGCTAGCATGCCTAGAAGGAACAATGAGGCTTTATATCCAACATAAGCACTATTTTATTTTATTGTTAGCCTCCTGCTCCCACTGATTTCAGGGGAGGGTGCATGGGGTTTCATTATATTCATGAGATTCTGTTCATTTTTAAAATTAGTCCCACTTCCATCAGTTTCAGGGAATGAGTTGTTTTTGTTGCATCTCCAGCCCCCTTCCTCCCTCTGTGGAGGTAACCAGAGAGAAAGACAGGATGCCAGTTCAAGGGGATGGAGAATTTCCCTAATGATTCTTCAAGGAGAAGATAGCAACCATTAAATTCTAAGAGGTCTGTTAACTTTGCCTTTCAGTGGGTCTTATAATAGGATCAGAGAGAAAACTATCTGAGTTGTACTTGATCCAGAGGAGACAGGGGTACTTGGCATACTTTCTAATTTGAAACCAGAAATAAATAGAGCATGCATAGCAAGACTGAACCCTAGTATCTGGACGTTTAGTGTTTTTCCATCTGGAGGAAGAATTGCAGCCAAAAATATAAAGACTAAATGGACAAGGAGACTAGGAAATGAACACCTGTCACTGTCACAATTAACAGCTTTGTATTCTAATTATGGTTCTCCCTGTACGTGGTCCCCTGGCCTTTCAGAACCACTTCTTCAAAATGGAAAGGTAGAAGGCAGCATGTTTACACTCTTTTGTAAACTATTTATTTATTTATTTAGCAAATGAAAATCTGTGAAGCCAAGCAATAGCCTCCTTATTAACTGAGTTCAAAGTTATTAATCCACCTCTTAGTTTGTAGAGGGGACACTTCTCAGTGATGTGAAGCATTGTTTGTATCTCTCCACAAGTGCACGATTGGTTAACACTGAGGCCCCAGCAGTGAAGGTTGGCTGCACAGGAGCCTTGGCTTGTCTTGAATCTATTTAGCAGGGACCACTCTCACCATGATGGATCAAAGCCAGCAGGTTGATGAATGGGGTTTGTCATAAGAAACTTTGTTTGTGACTTCCTGTGTTTCCCATTCCTTTGTCTAGAGGGCTTCTGCAAACATTGTGTGGTAGACAATGCCTACTTACTGCTTCTGCAACCATCAGGAGACGCATGCACTGTTTTTTGTTAAGGCCCAGAAATGGTGTTGACTCCAGTTTTAGATTAAGGCAATATGGCCCCGGATCACACTAGAAGATGAGATCCCCATGGCTCTATCCCCTGTTTGCAATAACACTGTTAGTGTCCTTTCTTCTTTCCCACAGAGTGTTAATGAGTGTTGTATAGCCCTCTTTTCAGTCTCAGAGCAGGATAAGGTGTCTCCCTTCTTTCAGGGTTTCTCTCCCCTCAAACCCAGATAGGCTTCCTTGGTTGCAACTCTTCCTATTTGTATTTACCCCAGTAGCCAAGGTGTAGCCATTTGAACAGGTCACCCAGGTCTGCTTCATTGTTCTCCTATAACACAACATCCTCTCTGGGGATGATGTTAGCAGGAACTCCAGGGAACAGGCCCTAGAGTTAACACCCTATCAAGATGAATGAAGCACTTAGTTTCTGTCTTTCTCGAGAACCATAGAGATGCCAGTTTCTTATTTAAATTAGGAACCAGTTTTCCAGGTTTTCTTTGCAAACATGTGAAGTTCAAAACAGTGTTAAAATTTATTTCTTATGTAATAATGTGACTCCAAGAGTTAGGCCCTTGTTACCAGTTTACAGTGCCTCAGTCTAATCCTGAATTAGATTAAGGATTGTTAGACACAGGATGGGAGCCAGTTTTACTTCTTCTTTAGGAAATTATAGGGCCACTAAAGGTAACATGGCCTTTGCTCTGTCATAAACTTTCTGGGGGATTCTGAACAGGTCACTTGGTATCCTTGTACTGGATTTAGAGCAAGTCTACTCAAGTCAGTGACTGAGTAGTTTAACTGAGATCAGAATCAGGTTTGTGCTCCCATCAGTAAAGGGATGCAATAATCTTTACCAACCTCCTAGTGGGGTTCTAGGGATCAGTTAGTAGATGCCCACACTGTCCCAGTAGAGCCCGATATTTGCCTAGTAGGATAGTAGGAAGCATGTCATAGATGCTAACTCCAGCATTTGAGCGTTATCCATGGAAGGCTGTCAGGAGCAGAAACCAGGCATCCCTCTCTTCTGTGAATCCTGCTGTCTTCCCTTTCTGTCATAGATAGACCCACAGAGACTTAAACTCCATAATGTTTGTTCTTACAGAAAATGCCATTTCGTTTATGGTATTTACTAAACAACGGTGCTCTGCAGGGTAGGCAGCTAGAAAAAAAAATGAACCAGCCTGGCCACAAACAAAGAGAATGCTCTCTACCCTGCTCCTTCCCTGCCCTCTCATCTACAAACACTCATGCAATGCTCATTCTAATGTACACCACGGCTTCAGATAATATTGAGAGGATAAAGTACTTGCGGGGAGGGAGAAAGAAGTTTGAATAAACAACTTTTAGCATCTTCCAGTGGCCCTCGCTATGTTTTTAAAGATTTATGCCAAATGCAGGCTTTATTGGAATTTGCTCAGATAAAGCTCAAATGTTATATGAATGTCTTTGTTCATCAGTGTTCTTGTCTGCTTTGAAGGCTTCAGCACATCTTTCTTTTATTAAGGTGCTTCTGTACTTATGAATAAATACCTTGCACCCTTCAGAAAAGGCCTGACTTTTACAAATAAGCATTCCAAAATTAAAAAGGCACCTTAGCAAAACAGACAAGGGAAAAGCACAGTAAGGCAAAATCCTATCCATTCCAGTTGTACAGAGAGGTTGCTGTGGTATTGTTTTTAAGGTAGCTTTATTAGGTACAGACTGTCAAACAATAACATGTTTAAATAACTTCCTATGGAAACAGTGCCATGTTTTGGTAACACATCATAAAGCATCATGAAAAATGCAGCTTAAATGCCGGTTTTTATTGCGGTTGTTATCTGAGGCCACTACATATATGGGTACCTGATAGGCT